TTTTATTGGAGTTTAAATTAACGTAGATATATGACCAAACCTAACCAACCCTACCTAACCTAACCTAACCTATCTTTATAGGTTAGGTTAGGTTAGGTAGCCGAAAAAGTTATGTTAGGTTAGGTTAGGTAGGTTAGGTAGTCGAAAAACAATTAATTCATGAAAACTTGGCTTATTAGTCAAATTGGGCCTTGCATAGTAGGCTGATAAGTGAGTTCTGGCAACTAGGTACGACATATATATATATATATATATATATATATATATATATATATATATATATATATATATATATATATATATATATATATATATATATATGTTATTGCATTCAATGCTGATTTTCCTTGTAAATGTTTATAGATATATATATTCTCTTGCTGATAGTGCAACATTGTATTATAATACTTGTCCTACTTGAGGAGGTTGGTAATATTAGGTGGTGAATCAGGAGATAGGATACCACTTGATAAGCTGATGATTGAGTCCTGATGGTGTTGGAGTGCAACCTGACTGAAATAGTATAGAGTGTATGATTCATTATTATTATTATTATTGTATGTGTGTATGTACTGTGTATGTGCTTTGTCCAGTAAATGTATTCAAATTTGCTGGTGTTTGCCCTTGTCCTAGTGAGGCTTCCCAGGAAGTAGTAAAGAAGGAGAGAGAGAGAGAGAGAGAGAGAGAGAGAGAACCAAGAACCACTGCTGTGGACAGGGTAGGATGGAAAATTAATAAGTCAAATGAGGATTGAGGAGATCATATCACTTAAGGAGAGAGTGGGGAGTCACAGCGGCCCGAGTGGGTGTGTGCACGTGACAACGAGGCTAAGTATTGGAGCCGCATCCCCTAAACGTGTGACGTTGAGCCCCTCTCCAAGAGCCAGAAGTGCTCAGTGTGATCTCCTGGTGAAGAATAAGCACTCTATCGAGTTGTGGGTTGGGTTGTCCGTAAAGAAGGAACAACGACGACAACGACACCAACCCACACTATAATAAATTGGGGGCCTGTGTCCGGGAGAGTAAACTGACACACCCACACCCTGGCCAAGAGTGGATTCGTACACCCCTTGTTGAAATAGATACACTGTGTGACCGCAGGTTTATATTCTCTCTCTTGAGAAGACTCACAGGACAAGATGGATAAGGTGCAAGCGTTTGTGGAGTCAGGCAAGCCTGAGGACTTGGAAGGTCGCACGAGGGATCAATTAAAACAAATAGCAGAAAATGTGGCATCAGGTTGAAAGCATCTAAAGTTGCTGTGATGAAGGATGAGATCCTGAGGCAGTTAAGAGCCATAAGTGAAGCGGCAGAGCAAGGAGCCCAGAAAGGAGCTGAAAGTGGAAAGGAGGATGATGGGCAGGATGAAGTGAGCTCCCAGGGATCAAGTAGGAGCAGTAAGAGTAGCCGCAGTAGCAGGAGTAGCCGGAATAGGAGTCTGGAAAGGTCCCAGTTAGAGCTCCAGATGCAGCGTGAGGAGAGACAGTTCCAGCTGGAAAAGATGAAATTAGAACTCCAGATGAAAAATGAAGCCAAGAAGGAATAATAGAAAACCAAACTGGAAGTAGAAAAAGAGAAAACCAGAGTAAGAGAACGTGAGTTGGAACAAGAGAAAGAAAAAAGAGAAAGCAAGACTAGAGGTCGAAAAAGAAAAAGCCCAGGTCGAAAAAGAAAAAGAGAGAACAAAACAAATGCAGATAGAAGCGAATAGAACCTTGGCTGAACAAAGGATTGAACATGGGTTGCCAGAGAGCACCACCCAGGTATCACACTCACCAGATGTTAGGGTCAGGGAGAAGGACATTCCCTTGTTTGTTCCCGAAGAGGCAGAGAGCTTCTTCGAGCATTTTGAAAAAGTAGCCAGTATCAAGGAGTGGCCACAGGAGGAATGGGCCAAGCTGGTCCAGTTAAGATTGACCGGTGCAGCCAGGGAGGCATACACCCAATTGTCACTGGAAGAGTCCCAGGATTATGCCACACTAAAGAGCAGCATATTGCGCTCGTTTCAGTTAACCCCAGAAGCTTATAGGAAGCGCTTCAGAGAGATGATCAAAGTTGGAGCATGTACCTTTGCTGAGATAGCAAGGGATCTGGAAAGACGATTCCAGAATTGGATTGAGACTGCTGGAGTTGGATCTTACGCTGACCTGAAGCAACTGATGCTCATGGAGAAGTTCTTGGAGATGATGCATCCCGAAACAAAGTTCAAGATGCAAGAAGCTGGGATAAAGGAAGTGAAAGATGCCGCAGATAGGGCGGATATGATTACGGAAGCATAGAAGAGCTTGAGGGAGAACAGAGTGAGAAGCGAGGCGAGACGCAGCAATGGCAGACCCAGTGCAGTCTGGGGAGGAAGATGTTTTGGGGGGCAGACAAGCAGACCAGCTAGTTTTAAGCCCCAGGAAGGAAAGTTGCCGAGTCCGCCTGCTGGAGGTAAGCAGGAAAATAAAAATGTGCAGAGGAGACAAGAGTCCAATGAAGCTCCTCAGAGTATGAGTAGTACGTCTGGCCCGAGGAACTCGAATACGAGTGGGCAGTCAGAGCCACTCGGGGGCGTATAGGAGAGATTTCTCCCAAATGAGATGCTACAAGTGCAACAGATCGGGTCACATGATGCGAGATTGTCGGCAGGGCAAGAGAGTCGTGACCCTGACCACATGGGATCCCCGGAAGAAGTACGTTGATGTACAACAAGACAAACCACAGAAGGTAGATTTGATGAACGAGCGGTATAGGCCATTCATTAGTAAGGGTTGGGTCAGCATAGAAGGTCAACCCGAGGTGGAGGTTAGTATCCTCAGGGATACCGGAGCCAATCAGAGTTTGATTCTGAGAGGCCTAATAGGAAATGATCGACTGTTAGCTGGCAGTAGGAGGATAAATGTTCATGGGTTGTTGTCTAAGAGTGACATGCCCGTGTGTGCGGTCCAGTTGAAGTTAGATTATTTGTCAGCGGAGGTGATGTTGGGAGTGTGCCCCAGCATACCTGTTCCAGGAGTCCAAGTGATACTGGGGAACGACTTGTGTGGGTCCAAGGTGTTGCCAGAGCTGATAGTAAAAGCTGTGCCGGAGGAGTACCAGAAGGACCGCGGTACAAGTGGAACACCGGACAAGGTAGATCTAGCCAGCATCCTCGAAGATGAAACAGAGGACAATCAAGTCATTGTATACCCGGCCTGTGTAGTGACAGAGTCGGATGTAGCCGCCGATGATGACACTGGAGATAGTGTGGCAGTGTCGACTCCACCAAGGGAGGAGGTCAACATGGACATGTCTGGGGTGTTTGATGAAGATCCAGCTCAGACGAATGAGGATTCGAAGAGACAGGAAGTGAAGATAACCCTACCTGAAAGGTTCAGCGTGAACCGAGCGGGCCTGATTAGGGCTCAGAAAGAGGAGTTTATAGATCTCATCAGGGAGGCAAAAGGGGGAAACTCACGTCCGGAGTCCCCCGTGTATTACTACTTGAACGATGATGTACTAATGAGGAAGTGGCGACCGGACAAAGCTGGCGCAGATAAAGTATGGTTGGAGAAGCACCAAGTGTTAGTGCCGAAGGAGTTTAGGGCGGCAGTGCTATGACTAGCCCACTCCGTAGATAAGGCAGGGCACTTAGGGGTGAAGAAGACCTTGAATAAGGTGCAGAAACACTTCTACTGGCGGAACATATGGAAGGATGTAAAGAAGTATTGTAGGACATGTTTGGCGTGCCAACGTGCAGGTAAGCCGGCTCCGGCTATACCGAAGGCACCCTTAAAGCCCATATCGGCATTTGGCGAGCCTTTTGAAAGATTCTCGGCGGCTCCCAGCCGGCGCCTGGGAGCCGCCGGATCATGTCCTGTTTTCGTGTTTTGGCTTTGCTACTGCCGTTAGGCATCCCTCTTCAACGGTCCGATTGTACGAGCACCAGGCGTGGTACAATCGCTCCTGGTGTGCCCTCAGCTGTGGTGGGACGCCGGCTTCTGCTCTGCAGGGAGACTCTGGATGACTTTTGCATTTTCAGTTGGGGGGCAGAGTTTTGGTTTTGCTACCTGGTGTTCTCTGTGTGGGGCGGGGTCGGTGCTTGTCACCCTTAGGGACTCCTGGGGCTCCCCAATCATCTGCCTGACTGTGCATTTCTTTGTCGCGAGGCCTAATAGTTTCTAGTGATTGACGTCACTCATTTCGTGATTTCGCTTGTTGTTAGACCTTTCCAGACTTCGCGATTAACCCGCCACGGGTACGCGGGGGCGCATCCGATCCCACGATCGTCGTCGCCCCTAAATTAACAACAACAGTATGTTGAAAAACACAGCTCAATTCCAGTCCAATAGTACACAAAATAGTTAAAACAAAAAGAAAATAAATTGAAATTTAAGAAAATTAAATTTATCAATGCAATTGGAAACATTGAAATGGAATTGTAACATATTTAGTATTGTGACTGTTGTTCTTACGTGCAACAGATGGCGCCGTTTTAAAAAAAAAACATGTTTTTACCTGTCACAGATGTGTCATCTATATAGTGGGAATATAAAGACACACGCACATTCGAAAAGAACGTTGTCAAAATTTAAAAGCATTCGGTGAAGAGCTTTCGGCGATTACAGCGTGTGTTGCTCTTACGACCAACAGATGGCGCTGTTTATAAAAATAAGCATGGTTTTACCTGTCACAAGTGAGGCATGTATATAGTATGAATATAAAAACTCTCGCCTTTTCGAAAGCAATGTTGTGTCAAAATTTCAAAGCAATCGGTAAAGAGGTTTCGAAGATTTCCTTCACATGAAAAACACGTAAAAAACAGTCTTTCAAAAATAGCATGGTTTTTCCCTTCACAGACGTGACATCTATATAGTTTGTATATAAAAATTTGCTCGGATGCGACTGGAATGTTGTGTGAAAATTTCAAAGCAATCAGTGAAGAACTTTCGGAGATTAACGATTTAAAACAAATGAACATTTCCATTTTTATTTATATAGATTAATATAATAAAATACAATTTTTCTTTTCCACTGTAGGACGTTGTGATTTTTACTCCTCAAGAGAGAGGTTTCTCCCAATAGTGCTGTCCGCGATCGGTAAGAGGGACAGTCCCCTAGTTCCTTCCCTCAGTAAAAGGTATGTACTGAGATATATTTAGAGAAAATGTAGTGAGGCGAAAATAGAATATTTCTAATATTCTTAGAAGATATAGCCTCTGATCAGGATAACTAGGCGTAAGGATTTAATCTTTATAATATTATTATAAGATATATATTATATGATGAAGTGATTAAACAAAATTGCGGCTTTTAATTAAAATATTTTCTGTAATACATATTTTTCCATTATATTTAAAAACAATAAATTCTATCGGAGACAGCCGACAGACCTTTTATTTTATCTAAAGATAGATCACACAATTGGGTATTATCAATATAGATTATTCTCTGAAGGAATAATTCTAATATAAGTTATCCTTTGATGGGGCATCAGTTCCGAGAAAGTGTTTTACAATGTGGGTGAGTGGGTGACATATTTTCTTTTAAAGTGTTTTTGTGTTGTCTTGTCCAGAATCATGTCGCTGACAGAAGCTGGACTTTACAACAAGTGGTTCAATGACAATGTCCCAAATGGTACGTCTTGCGTTCACCCTCCTAGCAAGATCACAGTCAGCACCCCGCACTCCATCAGGAACCTCTGGGTAAAGGTTGCGTCCATACACACCTTCAATGAATTGTTAAAGAATGTAACTGACATTTAATATACAAAATATATGCAAAATGTTGGAAGATTGCAGTCTAAATATTATGTATCTATTTACTTTACAGGGTATGTTTGTTATCCTCATATGTGGTTATCTTCTTGCTGTGAATGTTATGTGCATCGAGGTAATTGTTCATCACTGTGCCTCAAGGTCGTCAGTCAACACTTTGGTTTAAGGTGATTAGTCAAAACTATACTTCAAGGTCCTCAGTCAACGAAGATTATAATTCAAACTTCGGCAGAAGAAGTTGAACGTCTTTAATCTCTCGTTACTTTTCATCAGAAGTAAAAGTCTGCTCATTAAACGGTTTAACAATTGCAGTGTATGTTTGTGGAACTGTATTAGAGCAAAATGCAGCAGAATCTAACTGGCTTTACTCCTATACACGGAAGAGCATATCAAATTAATTATTCTTATGAAACATAGTAGAAACTAGTTAAATATGAAAAAGCAAATAGTGTTTCCTACGTCAGTGATATCGTCAATGACATGACGGAATCAGAGTTACACATCTGTGCGGTCAGGCGAGAAATTTCCTTCCGCAGCGCAGAGTTTAGCTAGGGGTATAGGAAAGATCTCATACGGCATCAACTCAACACGAAGAAGGAAGCCCTCCAAACCCTTACAGAGCAAGCTGAATATCAGTTAATCAAATGGACCCAGTACGACATCCCCAACCAACTCAAACAAAACATCAACAGTGAACTATCAAGCCTAAAACAACAACACAAAACTCATGTCGATACGAGGACACTCCGAAAGCCGACAGCCCTCATTATGACAGCCTTATCGACTAATTTGATTTCATTTCAATATACTCTTAATAATAAATGTGCAAATTAATGAGAAATAAAAATATTTTGGAAGAAACATAAAATATAAAAAATACCATAATGAATCAATACTCTTAATAAAAATATTAACATATGACCGCTTGCTTTACTTACCCTTTTAGACATACAAGGAAGACTGACATTCCTTCAGATGTTTAACTGTTGGTAAATCTATTTGTAACATAACACATCTGTCCTTCTCCTAAACCACTACAATAATCCCTCTAATTATTATGTTCCAAATAAGCATGGACACACATTCTCATAATAGTTTCTACAGAGAACAGGCGATATAATTCCTAAATTCTCCGACATAATAATTCCCAGTATGTTTAAACCAAAGGATTGTTAGCAGGTGTTTGGACACCAACATTTGAAGACAAGCCACAGCCGAAACCATTACAGCAGAATCTCGCTAATGATAACATCACTACAGTAGGATAATGTAGGGCTAAAAGCAATCGTTTTGAATTTGGCCAGGACTCTCAAATATTTAAAGTGAGGCCTGTGTACAAATCAGGTTTATCATTACATATTTCGTGTTATGTGGCTTAACCTGGATTAGATGAAATATTTGACAACATAACACGTATGTACTCAGGCATGGGGTTGAATACTGGGTTATATTGGAAGGTTTCCTTGATCCTACAGTGTGTAGGATCAAGTAGTGTAGGATCCTACAGTGTGTACAACTACTTATGATTAATGTATTCTTTGTCCCTTTGAGATCAAGGAGATTCAGAGTCTTCAGTGAGGGTCTAGGGTCGCAGTGACTTGTAACTGGTTGAGATACTAGACACTAACTCATCACTGGAGACTCATAAGATCACCTTAACTTGGAATGAGAAATTATCTGCATTTAAGCAGAATTAAATTTGGCCTACAAATAATTAATTAATTATCAAAAGAAGGCACCAAACCGAGAAGGCTATGCAGCACCATCAAATGTGAGGGATAATCAGAGGGCGCTAAATATCACCAAGGATGCCAACATGAGAACTAAAACGCAGAAGGCTAACGATATCAAATGTATCCGAGTCACCAAGAATACTATCGAGAGAAAAGCGACCACGGGGGGACGGTCGGAAAACAAGACAATGCTCGTCCCGGAAGTCAGGACATTTAACATGGATATGCATGACTGTAAGAGGGACAATGCAATTAGGACAAAAAGGAGCAGGGCGGCGCTCCATCAAGTGACCATGAGTTAAGCGAGTATGGCCAATATGCAACCTCGCCAGAGCCGTTTCCCAACGCTTGTTATGGTGGTAGGAGGACAGCCACGAGGACACACAACTTTTAAGAGAACGTAGATTGTGACCAGTAACAGACGACCAACAAGCCTGCCAACGGGTAAGGATGGAGGAATGGATAACCAGGTAAAAGTCGGAATAAGGAATACCTTTACGAGAGATGGGACGAGCGGAAAGCTTCCCTGGTGGCAGCATCAGCACGCTCATTTACAGACACCAATATGGCTGGAACCCAACAAAACTCAACAGTCTTAAATTTACTGGGAACAAGAAACAGCCAATGCAGGATCGCGACAACCATTGGATGAACCGGATTAAAGGACCCGAGAGCCATGAGGGCACTAAGAGAGTCAACAACAACTACAAAGGAAGATTGACAACGGGAGAGCAGGAGACGAAGAGCATAGAGATTAGCATAAAGTTCCGCTGTGAACATGCTAGTCTCCGGAGGTAAGCGACACATATAAGTGTGATCAGGAAAAACAACAGAGTAGCCAACACCATCCGCAGACTTAGACCCATCGGTGAAGACGGAAATGGAGTGGGAGTGAGAAGAAAAGTGCTCAAGTAAAAGGCGTTATAGAACCATAGGAGGGGTAAAAGCTTTTGGGATTCGGGTCAAGGATGTACAAAACTACGGAAGGGGGACTCTCCATGGAGGCAAAGAAGGAACAACACGAGGAGAAATATTAGAAATACGAACGGAAAGAGAATCCTGTAAGCGAGATAACCGGACAGAAAGAGGGAGGTGGTGAAGAGGAACAGGAACCGCAGGAGAGGTAAAAGTTAAAGCACGACAGAGGCGAGAGGAAGGATGTTGCAAGGACCGCTAAAGAGAGAGCGAAGACAGTAGCGATCACGGCGATCCTGAAGAGATAGAAAGCCAGTGTCAACATACAAGCTGAGAACGGGAGTCGAACGAAAGGCACCAGAACTGAGGCGCAACCCAGTATGGAGCAAAGCATCAAGACGGCGAAGAATAGAAGGAGAAGCACACGAGTATGCAGGTCAACCATAATCGAGCTTATACAGGACGAGAGAGGAATGCAAAGCAAGGTGAGTGCGCCTATGCGCTCCCCAAGAAGTAAAGGACAATACCCGAAGGAGGGTAAGGGCCTTAGAGCACTCAACACCGAGGTAAGAGATATGGGGAGACCAAGACAAACGAGTGTCAAAGAATAACCCCAAAAGCTTCACAGAATCTTTGTACTCAAGGGGATGACCATAAAGTGACAAAGAGGGACGAAGAACGACCCATTTCCAAGTAAAAGTCATGGCATAAGTCTTAGTGGTAGAGAACTTGAAGCCATGAACCAAGACGACACGGCATCAATCGCAAGTTGTAGTTGGCATTGAAGGAGAGGCGAATCATCACCCTGACAGCAAAAGGTAAGATCATCGACATAGAGAGTGGAGAAGACACCTGAAGGAAGAGAGGAAAGAAGAACATTGAGGGCAAACAGAAAATGAGTAGTGCTCAGAACACTATCCTGGGGCACACCCTCGTATTGCTGAAAAGAGGCAGAGAGAGCGGTACAAAGCCTCACCCGAAAGGAACAATGAGAGAGGAAGCTGCGGAGAAAGAGAGGGAGATGACCACAAAGGCCAAAAGAATAAAGCTGGGATAGAATATGATATCGCCAAGTGGTGTCGTAAGCCTTTTCCAGGTCAAGCCATCGTTTCTCACCGGTGCCCGGGATCGAACCCGGGCGCCGGCAAGAAACGATGGGCAGAGTTTCTTTCACCCTATGCCCCTGTTACCTAGCAGTAAATAGGTACCTAGGAGTTAGTCAGCTGTCATGGGCTGCTTCCTGGTGGTGGAGGTCTGGTCGAGGACTGGGCCGCGGGGACACAAAAGCCCCGAAATCAACTCAAGATAACCTCAAGATAACCAGGTCAAAAAGGACGGCAACAACGGAGGTCATCGCAGCAAAAGCTGTACGAATATAGACCTCCAAGCTCACCAGGACATCTGTTGTGCTGCGGCACTTGCGGAAACCCTAATTGAGAAGGGAAGAGGAGGTGATGGTGTTCCAAGAACCACATCAGACGAACGTTAACCATACGTTCAAAGAGTTTGCAGACTCAACTTGTGAGGGCAATAGGACGAAAGTCCTTAGGGGATGTTCCCAGAGACCCTGGTTTGCGAACAGGGAGGACAACGGCATTGAGCCAGTCCTCAGGGACTGACAACGACTCCCAGACCCGATTATACAGATTTAGTAAATACTGAGACGTGCACGGAGGGAGATGGCGAAACATCTCATAATGAATGCTATCGGAGCCCTCCGCCGTAGAACCGCAGGGGGCCAGGGCAGAACGAACTTCAGAGAGAGAGAGAAGGGATCGTTATAGGGAAGTCGAAGACGAGTGCAGAAATCTAAAGGACGAGATTCAAGGACAGGTTTACGAAGAAGGAAAGATTGGGGAAGATGAAGACCAGAGCTAACAGAAGAAAAGTGGGAACCCAGTTAGATAGTGACCTGCAACGGGTCTGCCACAAGAGTACCACGGAGATGAAGGACTGGTGAAACATCGGGAACGAACTTACCCGCTATCTTATGGATACGCTTCCAGATCTGTGGCAGAGGAGTTTTGGACGTGATGGTGGAGGCATAAGATGCTCAACATTCACGTTTAGCCATACGGATGGCCCTACGTGCCACCGCACTCGCCTTCCTAAAGAAAAGAAAAGAATCGGCTGTCAGCCATCGGCGGTGTCTCTTCCAGGCTGCATGCTTACAGCGGACAGCCCGAGCACATTCTGTATTCTACCAGGGAACGCACTTCCGTGGACCCCGAGAGGAAGAGCGAGGAATAGAGCGGAGGGCAGCATCGAAGACAGTGTCATGAAAAAGGAGGAGAGGTCAGAGAGAGCAGCACTGAGGGTAAATAGGTTCTAGTCCGCTTTAGCAAACTGCCACCTAGGGAAGGATAGGGGAGGGTGAAAAGAGAAAAAGGTAACAAGGATGGGGAAATGGTCACTGCCATGAAGGTCATCAAGAACCTACCACGTGAAATCTAAGTAAAGAGAAGACGAGCAAAGAGAAAGATCAAGACAGGAGATGGTGCGAGTCTGAGAGTCCAAATGCGTGGGTTCACCTGAATTCTGAAGAAACAGGGAAGAAGAGAGGATATACGGCTCAAGAAGGCGACCTCGGGTGTTCGTCAGAATATCACCCCAAACGGAATGACGACAATTGAAATCACCCAGCAGGAGCACAGGCTCCGGCAAGGAGTACAGTAGGTGTTTCAGATCAGGAATAGTAAGCGGGACACTCGGGGGGAGATAAATGGAACAAACGGTGTACCATTTCCCCACAAAGATACGAGCAGCAGAACAATGAAGAGGCGAAGGAAAAAGTAAGAGGACAAAGGGAACATCAGAGCGAATCAAGAGAGCAAAGAGTTAGGAGCCCCAGCAACAGCTTGGGGAGGGGGGGAAGAATAGCCACGAAAGCGACCAGGACGAGCACCAAGCATCAACTCCTGCAGACAGACACAAAGGGGCGAAAACCGCGAAATCAGAAATTGGTGTTCAAGGAAATTGGCGTAATAACCCCGAACTTTCCATTGAAGGATAGACATCGACGAGAAAAGAAAGGACAACAACAGAGAACAATGAAGAAACAAAGGCGAAAGAGCAACATAGCACGTTAATGAAGATCAGGGTCGGGATCAGTGTCAGCAAAGTCAGGGTTAGGGGGCATGGGTAAACTGAGAAAAGACGGAGCGAAGGAAGTGGGAGAACAT